ATGTTTTATACAAAAAAAAAAAAAACCGAATGTCAAATCAAATGAAACTAGTTTGATCTTCTCTGCAAAGATGTATGTTACCCATCCAAACCTCGGAGTACAAAGTAACACCAATTTTGATGGCTTCAAATATGTGTTTGCCCGCCTCAAAGAACCCGGAATAAAAATTTAACAGTAATTAAAAAAGAAATACCATTGAAAATAGGATTACGGAGCTGCCAAAGCCGTTTATTAGGGTAGAGGTGTAGGAAATGGTTAAAAATTACTTTTCAAAGACTGGATCTGGAAATATAGACGCGTATATTTTAAGAAGACTAGAAGCAATAGACCGATATTCTGATAGTCCATTCATATAAAATTTTAAAACCAGTGAGCGGAGCAGTATAGTCGGAAGGGACCGAGCATATGATACCCTACACAACATCCACGGAAATGTAACTTTGTGTGGTTCTTTATTCTGAGCTGGGGCAATATTTCGCAATATTTGCAACCTCTTGACCGACTAGAGGTCAGCCAATATTACTAATATCCAGTACAACCCTTCTATTTGTCCAGAGTCCCTTCACCGTGGGTCGTGTTGTAATGTACGGCTTTCAATTGTGGCCTACAGATCGACTCAAAAAAAATACAAAAAAAAATTAGTTTTCGGTCCACTGCATCCCAATATTATTATCTGATCATCACCGACAATTATAGGCTCTAGTGTGGTAATGGGTTACTAAACAAAATCTGATTACGTAAGTACCTGTAAATATCTAAGTGTAACTCCCACATCCGAGCACATACGTCGATATAATTGGTATCAATTTAAAGGTCAACCACTACTCTTGGATATACTATCAACTTCTCGGGTCTATGTGCTTCAGGAGTAAATATATACGCCATAGAATACAACTTTTGTCATTTTTCACACAAAAGTCAGGGTTCATTTGACCCGCTAAATATTGACCGATCTTTATCAAAACATTCATATTCTTTGCATATTCATGCATATTCTTTGGCCCTATCCCCTTCTCCATATAAAAATTCACGATGTTTGGGCCATATTTGCGGCCTCTAGAGCGACCAGAAAATCAGACAAAAATTTAGTTTTTGGTCCATTTCATCCCGTAAGTATTAACCGATCTTTACCAAAAACAATAGGGGTCTTCATTGACCAGAACCGATCCTACATGCAAAATTTCGTGAAGATTGGTCCATAAATGTGGCCTGTATCGTGTTTACAAATTATAATGGACAGACGGACGGACACGCATGTCTAGATCGACTCAGCTAGTCGAGATATGACGATCGGTATACTTAATGGTGGGTCTAGGACCAATATTTCGCGGCGTTACAAACTCTTGGGGCTGCACAAAGCTATAATACCCTGACAACATAGTTGTGTAGGGTATAATTAATTTTAAATTTTGTGGGGAGGTACCATAAGGAATGGATCTAAATGGATAGACAAAAGAACATACAGACTTTCTTAAATCGTCACTAGAAACCCAGCATAATCTGATCATCATCGAAAATTACAGGCGTCGCCTTTGACACTAGTCGGAACTTGTAAAATTCCATTGCCGACATTTGCGCCCTCTAGTGTGGCAACGCTAATACTAACAATATCAGAATACGTTACTGACCGCCAACATAGCGCCCACGGACGCTTTTTGTGTGCACGCACACAATCATAATTTTGTTGAATAAACGACAGTTCAGATTAGTCTCGTATGAGCAATTGATGAAGGTGATGATCACTACGGACCTTGTCTGTGAGACCTGGGATACGTAGACCACTGTATATATATATTATTGCAACTCCCACAGACGTCCTTCAGGTGTAAATATGTGGTGTTATATAATGCCAATTTTACCTGTGTGAGTCCATTTAAACCGCTAAATATTAACCGAGTATCATGAAAATAGACATACGTTCTCTTTGGTCTGATCCCTCTCTTCGCGTGATGTTCTTTTCTTAAGGGAACACCCCTTCAGCCGTCACTTGATGCTGACACATTAAATCGGCTATATCTTCAAGAGTTCTTGAGATTTTCATTTGAAATTTTGTAGGCACATTCTATAATTAGTGTAGATTCGAATTATATCAACAACATTTTTGACCCCGAGAATGGGGGGTCCCCTTAAGTGCTGCTCTAGAACTATTGGAAAAACTGACAAAAATAACGTTTTGGTCAATTTCATCTTCTAAATATTTTCATTGTTCGGAAATGGACTTACATGTAAAATTTCATGACGATTGGTACGACGAATGGAAATCACAATCGTTATACTAAAAAGTGGATCTATTTCACAGAATGAGAACACAAAGCCAATTATCTCAATGGGCTACTCAGAAACATACTTCAATATTCGTAATTTTTGGTAAGGAGATATTATTACCATTAAACACCCAAATATAAAATTACAGCCAAATTGGTTGAAAAAATGATCCCCAAAATGTCGAGGTACTATTGTATGGGTCTATTTTGACAATTTTTTATTGAAAGAAGATTTGCTATGGATTGGTTGAAAAACATGCCCAGTATTACGATATACGGATTTTTCAAAATGTAACTACAGGTGTGTATATTTTCAAGAAGTAGTTAGTGGATTTTTCAAAGAGGTACTTATAGGAGTGGCTTTTTAAAGAGAACTTATATTGAGTTTTTCAAGGAGTATTTATAGGAGTGGATTCTTTCGAGAAATACTTATAGCAGTATATTTTTTCAAGGATTACTTATAGGCGTGGATTTTGTCAAGGAGTACTTATAGGAGTGGATTTTTCAAGAAGTACTTACAGGAGTGGATTTTTCAATGAATACTTACAGGAGTGGGTTTTTTCGATGAGTACTGATAGGAAATAATTGTATTTTGGTATTCATATTTTTCGGATGAAAAATACCTTTGCAGAAAATGTTGAGCATAGATCCATGTTTTACTTGTTTGTATATTCAGGGATTTAGCCGCATGTTCCCACATCATACTCATGTTGGCTTGAAAATGTATTTGCAGAACTGTTTAAGAAAATACCATGTTTATAAATAACCCCACATGAAGTTCCTCCCCTAATTTGATATTTGATAAGGGGTTTTCGCACGAAATGTCCAATGTAGTTCAATTATTTGACATATAAAGGTGGGATCCCATCTTCGTTAAATGAGGACTACTGTATTGGTTTTTATGCTCTTGCATTGGGTTTTAACAATTTATCACATCCTCTATCGACAAAAACCTTTGACCACATATTTTTTGTCCTGCTATGCGGGAATAAAATAAGGTATTGGGAAATGGCCGTACGAAGACGATCCATCACTTTCACATTTTGGTCGGTCAAAATGGCACTTTTCTGAACCGATGTGTGAGAATTCATTTTTAATGTACAGGGTTGCCCATATTCGACGGAATCATCTGCCAACGCCATAACTTTTGACAGAGATGTCACATCGCTTAATGACATACCGCGTTTGAAGCGTCAGTCCAAGCAGATTTTTACCATGAACCAATACACGCCACGCGAGCGCTCTGAAATAGTTGATATTTACATTCAACAGAAGAATTCTATTGTGAAAACTCAACGTGCTTTTAAAACATTAAAAAATGTGAGAAGTGCGCCTTCTAAGGCTCTTCGACTGGTAAGGTTCTTTCTAATCCGAAGAGGCCATATAAAAGTCGAATGGGCCCAATGAGTCATGAAATGGCCAATTATTCGTCGAAATCGTATGAGGCAGTTCTGGTTTCAACAAGACGGCGCTCCACCGCACACAATTCGCATAACAATCGATTTTCTGAAGAATTTGTTTCCGGCCGTTTGATGTCGAAAAGTGGTGATTTGGGCTGGCCACCGCCCGATTTGACACCACCTGACTTCTTCTTGTGGGGATATTTGAAGTCAAATGTTTACGTTAACAAGCCAAGGACCGTAGACGGGCTGAAGGACAATATTCGTGAAGAAATAGCCGCTATTCCGGCCGAAATGTTGGCAAAACGATGGAAAATGCAGCAAAAAGGGCACAATACGTCATCAACGCCAGAGGCGGCCATTTAAGAGATATCATATTCAAAAATTGATGTAAACAAATCTACTTGGAACAAATTAAATGATTAACATTGTCAACCGCCATATTTTTATTTTTTCGTCGAATATGGGCAACCCTGTACAACGATTCCTCTTCTCTTGTTTATTTTTCGAATTTTTCCGAAGACATTAGGCAGACAAATTGTGGAGTACCACTTCGAACTGAACGTCCTACGTTGCTCCAGCGCAACAGTCGCCACATGACATTTTCCCTAAGAAACATGGGATCATTTGCATCGAATTGCATAATCGTTTTTGAAGACACATACGGTCGATTGGGAGTTTATGCATAGATCACCTGTGACGTGTTTCTTAGCATCGTATTTTCAACATTCCTTTACACGGATCGACGCAATTAATTTTTTGAGTGATTTTTCAATATAAAAAAGCCATGACTTGAGAAATTGATTTGATTGCCAAAGAAAGCCTCTATTTATCGGTATGCCAGATGACGATAATGCAATATTAGTTTATTTCAGTTAAATTCAAGAAATCAATCGTTCACAGCACCATAGGTGAAATCTCGTACTCATGTCGTTATCATTCACAAGTTCACAAGTTAATTCCATTTTTAGGGAAAATCAATTTCTCAAGTCACTGTAAACTACATAACACATGGTCGTACATCAAACCATACTAAGCAGGTCTATTTTAAAAATGTCTTTCTTTGTAATATAAATTTCTGAAGGTGTAAATTTGTGGTGTATATAGTAGTCCTCTTAGCCGATTTTTTCAGTCTGAATAACAATATTTAATTAGAAAACAAATTTTCTGAGCAAGCAATTTACAAGGCCGTTGAATTGACGACCTTATATGGATGCTATATCCCGACCGATTTTAGATAGTTTAGATGTGCACCTCAGAGTTGTGTTCGTTCCGGGCGAATTTAGTAACGTATTTACTTGTCGACTTTTTAATTTATTCTTTTACTTATTTTCAGATTGTGGTGTTCGACCACCAAGGAGAGAGCCAAGATCAAGATTTCCCTTTGAAGATCCAAAAACATCGCGTACAGCTAAAATTATAGCTGGAAGTCATACCAAAGAAGGACAATATCCTTGGCAAGCATCTCTAGAATTACTACACCCCTCACTTGGATTCCTTGGACATTGGTGTGGAGCGGTGCTAATTCATCAATATTGGATATTATCAGCTGCACATTGTGTACATAATGATCTCTTTAATTTACCCCTACCCCCGCTGTGGACTGTAGTTTTAGGTGAATATAATCGTGCTGTGGAATCAGGATACGAACAACGAATACCAGTTGAAAAAATAGTTCTCCATAAAAGTTATCAAAATTTCCTACACGATTTGGTCTTGATGAAGCTATCAAAACCTGCCGATTTATCTAAAAAATCCAATATACGAAGAATTTGTTTACCATTTCTGTTCAATGAACCCGTCTATGCAGAATATGAAGATGAGGAGGACTTGGAGGCAGAGGAATTAGATGACCCGCTACTAATGGATTTGGTACAAGTTCCCGATAAAATGGAAAATTTCCTTCGAAGTTTTCAAAGTATTCGACGTCATCGTAATATTACAATGCCAACAATGAAAGATTTATTAGATTTGAAAATATCAAATCGTCTGAAACGGCAACAAAAAACTGCTGGACGTCAAGGTAGTGATAGAGGTCGTAATGGTCGAAGTATTCGACGAAGAAATGATAAAATATTGAAAATCTTTCAATATTCTAATGAAAATTATGAAATGTCGGAAGAGAAACATTTTCATCGTTATATTGACAATAATCCAGATCTGCCCTATATCGATTGTGTGGCAACGGGTTGGGGTAAAGCAAATGTTTCGGGAGATTTAACTGATTTGTTGTTGAAAACAAATGTCCCGCTGCACAACAATAGAAGGTAAGTGTTGTGGAAGATATTTCTGCTTGTGCAAATTTTTAATATTTTTATTGGTTTATTTTCGTCAGATGTAAAGATGCATATGGTACCTTTGTCCGAATACATCGAGGACATTTGTGTGCTGGAAAGCTGAATGGCAAAGGCGGAACATGTGTGGTAAGTACTTGATAAAAAAAAATTTGCAGACCTGCCCTTCCTGCTGTTTCAAAAGGATGTTTCGTTAGACCATATGTCAAAGTCCGTAGTCAGAGTTTCATATGACGTAACTACTTTTGCTTCGGACATTTTGTTTCGGACATTGATTTAGGCACTGTACTATATTATTATGAGGCCTATTGCAGTTTATATCGATCCACTTCTTCATGGCGTGTAGCTGTGACGGCCGCTTCATTTTTCATATGGATTTATATTGAATATGTTTCCATACATCCCATGATTTTGAGTAGAAATGAGATTATGGTTATTGGTGTTTAGGCATTTGGAGTAGTATTATTTGCCTTATCGGTCTGTCTAGGGTTGCCAGCCTGGCTGGACTTAGTTGTATTGTCGAGCTAAATATAATCTTCTTAATAATGGACAATATTTTTTCAAGCTATCTTTGTCAAATTGGTGGTATGTGAACAATATCCCCCCGATCGAGCTATTTTTGGTGAACCCTTAACTTAAAACTGGGTGAAATTCGAGATATGATATCTATATATATATATATATCAAATTAATTCATTTAAACCACACACGTGTCATTCAGTGCATGCCATTTCGGCAGTATTGGGACTTTGGAGTTCCATTTATATAAAATGGTACAACATTAAGTATTAGAGCTATGTCTAAATCTGGACCGATTTCAGTATGTGCACCACAGCCGTCCCACCATTTGTCAATTATACTTTGGAAACACTGTACATGCAAAGTTCTCTCTAGAGGTCACAATAATGACGAATTTTTACACTGAGAAAAGAAAATGATCAATATTTAGCGGGTCAAATGGTCCCATAATTTTGTATGAAAAATTACAAACTTCGTACTCCTGAGAATATAGAAGCTTTAAATTAATACCTTGAATTAATGTATGTACTCAGATTTTGAAGTTGTACTTAAATATTCTGACAGAGTTAAATATTGTCATTACCACTCTTGAGGATGTAAATTAGCGCTGATCGCTGTGATATTTTACAATATATTCCGGTTATGGTCAAAGTTGGCCCCTAAAGTTTTTGGTGGTGATCAGATATTATTTATTTTCTCTTTTTTCTAGTCGACACTTATAAGTCAAATATGACAAAATGTACACGCGAAGGAAATTTGGTCAATTTATTAAAAATGGTCGGTCAATATTTAGCGGATCAAATGAACCAAGCCTTCTGTGTATAAAACGACCAAAAAATTGAATTGTATGGTCTAAAATATCACTCCGGGAAAATGTGATTTTGAAAAGTTACCAGCGTAAGAAGGAGGAGCTGTTGACCTGTAATATATAACAATTTCTATTGATGGAAGAGGTCAGATAGAGGGTTACATATTTTAGTATTACCATTATCACACTATTGGGTGCAAATATCGTGGAATATTGTCAAAGCTTTTAATATAGATTGGTATATTGCTCCGCTGGTTTAGTATGTCTTTGTCGAGCTTTTTACAGTTACATTTTCATATAGTTTAATCTTAAGACCTCTCAAGGAGAGTTTCTTCTTCTTCGTCCTCCCTGTGGAAGATTTCTTCATCAGCAGTGTACTTCTTTCTCACCAACTTTAGATTAATTCGCTCGCCTGGGGATACAATGTTCCAAGATATTATTGTTAACCGCATCCAACATCACATTGTGAATCTCTTTGCTCTGTTTGTCGGAGTCACTATTTTCGTCGATTACCGTTCTTCCAATAATTCCACCAGGGTTCTATATTCGATGACGAATCAAATCCCTGTTAAACTTGGCTGATTGGCAGGATCCCTGATGTGGATGATTCAATATCTATTTGTTAACCGGATTCTACGTCTCATTGGGGATCTTTTTGCTCTGTTTGTAGGACTCGCTATTTTCTTCGATCATTGCGATCTGGCGACTCTCATCAGTGGCGACTCTTTATCATAAACTAACAACTTGACAGATCGGAAATACTCCTCCATGTAGAAAGTTATACAATATCTTATTTCTGACCCTGATCGAACTCCTCTTTATATATATTTTTCCTTTGTTTACCGGACTCACAATGTTGGACAATCGCTGCGTCGCTTGGGGTCTATTTTCCCAGTAATCCGCTCGTTATAAAATGATCTTACAGTTGACCTCATATCGTGGCTGTATCCATCGGCCTGGGATTGAATGACGAGATGCTCTTTTTTTGTTTGCGGCTTTGGCATTCGTTTGCTCTTTCGGAGATTTAACCGAGGAATTGATAAAAGGGCAGGTTTATCCTCAGGGGTTATACTCGTTCTAGATTCACCGGTTTTTCCAAGTCAGTCTTACATTGGTACATTCTGTACATTCTGTTTCGATTATATTATCGGCCTCTTCAATCTTTCGGCACTCTAAGACGGTTATATCGGTCGGAGTTTAGGTTCTAGCGGGTGTTGTTGATCTGTTCAAGAGTAAATCCCTCTTATATGCCTTGGAATATATAGTCGATGTTACCACTTCAAGCACGCAGCTGATAGATAAACTGGAGCCGAATCTTCTGAAACAGAAAAACTACTTCTCCCCCTGCATCGTTACATTATTCTTTATTCCCTTGCCAATAGTCGTATTTTAATTAAGGGGAACATCCCATAGTTATTCTATCCTGATACCTCCTGCTTTAGCTGATTGTAACAGATTAGTATACTTAACAGCCTTCCCTACAGCCTGGACCTGCAATAACGCAACAATCTAATATTGTTTTAGTATACAAATTAGGGCGGGCCAAATTTCTTGTCGATTAAATCTAGCGTAGATGTTTTCTTCAAGAGGTTGCTATGATCTTCAAGATCTTCAACACTTTAAATTACTTTCGAATATAATGATGTGTGTGTGTGGGTCAATTTGTATGGAGTCGAAAAATTGAATCAAAATAATGTTATAAGGAAAAAATATTTTTTTGAAAATCGAGATAGACCTTCATCAAAATTGCTTAGAATTGTCCATAGAATCATCCTATGGGATTTAATCGAATTTGTCGGCTCCATACAAATTGGCCCGCCCTAATACTCATATTTCATGATATTTGAAGGTAATTTAAAGTGTTATAGATCTTCAGAGACACCTCTTGAAAAAAACATCTACGCCATAGAATGAATTACAGGTAATACTTCTTGGTTTTTGGAACATAAGTCGAATCTATAGATCTATTAGAAAAAAGACGGGAATTGTGTATCGTATCCCCTAAACATAAACTATCCTTGGCCTTCACCCATGACTATCGGTACAATATTGGAAATGGCGATAGTGTGTAACACCCTTGGAAATATTTATTATCTGTTATAACTCCCAATCTCAAATGCGTCCAACATTAGTATCAATTTAAAGGTCATCCACTCCTCTTGGATATAGAGTCATTTTTGCGGTGTATGTCTTTCCGAAACAAAATATTTTGCCATAGAAGAGTAATTTTGTCATCTATGTCCATTTGATCCGCTATATATTGACTGATAACTATCAAAACAGCCATACTTTTCCCATTCCCCATGTATATTTTGAATCATAGTTGTGATCTTTAGAGACCAGAAAAACATACAAAAATAAGGTTTTCTAAACATCATATTGGTCGATAATATTTAAAAACATATCGTTCGGCCACAACAGAATCTTCATGCACAATTTTGTTTACAAATGTCAATGGACACACGAAGAGACACACATGGCTGGGTCGATTCAGCTAGTCAAGATATGACGATATATACTTAAATGTGGGTCTAAGGTTAATATTTCGTGGCGTTACGTTCTTTACATACGGTATAAATACCGACAATTAATCTATAATTTTATATGACATTTTTCTAAAATTTGGATCTTCCCTAAGCATGCTTTATATGGAATAATTTTGTCATTCATAACTCTCGATATATGAACAATGTCTTCTGCAAAATATGACTAGACCTTTGATAACATAAATTATATGGACCATGTATAAAAAGAGACAGTCATATGATGTGAGTTTATACCTTATACTCTCCTACTTAAATGCTATAGTTTACGTACCTGATAATCAGGATGGTACTCAGGATGCCATATCTATAAATGTAAACCCCGAACCATTTTATTTCATTTACATGTTACCCACAGGTGTGTGCGTCATTATCCTTCAACAATAATTTGCCAAAATAAAAACGAATATCTTTAGAAAGTGTGGTTAAATAATCGTCTAATTTTAAACACATGTATTTACCTCTTCTTTTCAGGGTGATTCTGGTGGTCCCTTGCAGTGTCGTCTAACAAAAACTGGTCCCTGGATTCTGGCTGGTATAACATCATTCGGTTCTGGCTGTTCCATTGAAGGTTACCCCGATGTCTACACAAGAATATCACATTATATGAAATGGATACAGGATACAATAGCTTTTGAATAAGATTCATAAAACTATAGTTAGTTTACAAATACCTGAAGTTATTATTGAATATGACAAAATTCTAACAAAATTTTGCATTTTGTAAATGCACCAAAATTACGAACTCCTTTTGAATGAGTTCTAACACCAAAAGTACAATATTGACAATTATATTATTTTTGTTTTAAATTTTTTGTTTTGTTTTTTATAATTTTTTTTAATTATTTATTTTTGTTCGTATAAAAAAATCGTATGAGTAACTTAAGTTAATTACTTGACTATTTTGTTATAATTATATAGTTTTACATTGTTGCGTTTTTTATTTTAGTTTTTTTTTTAAGTTTAATTGTTTTTGTTTTGTTTTATATTTATTAAATACCCCATTACTTTGTAAGCATACGATACACTAAAAAAAATACAAATGAATGAAAGCTGAAGCTAAAGCGAGAGAACATTAATAAAAAAATCCCTTTCTCATAGAAACGATATAAAATAAAGAAAACTTAACTTAAATTTATTATCACAGCCATAAATACTTTTCTACGTCTTCCCCAAACTACAAATGAAAATAAAAAACTAACTAACGAAAGAAAGAAGTCCTAAGGATAACTGACTACCTACATACATACACGAGAAGCTAATAGCTACATTTATAAACTAACACTAAGACAGCGATGAAAACAATGACGAGAATGATGATGAGGATTATTTGGGACAAAGTCGTCCCTTGTTGTAACTGCAACCGAAAATGAACACAGGCGATGAGCATCAATTGAGTATGACTACATATATAGTGTGAGTAAAAAAATTATGATGATGGTGGCGGCGGCGGGGTGCAATCGTTGTCGATGGATGGCGGCATTTGGCAGACACAATTCTCATTTACAATATCATATTATCGTTGTTTTCTATATTCGGGCAATATAAATGTACTGCTCTGCTTCTCCATTTCCAATTCCATCTCGATGTCGAGCAACTCTTGCTGTTCACCCAATTCCAATTCCATTTCAAGTAGTTGTTCTTGCTCCTCGGCGTCGTGATGTTCACCACCAGCCACTTGTGGCACCAGTGGTACCAATGGTGCAAACGCCACATGCGCTTTACTAAGTCTACGGGCTTTCTTTTTAGTTTCTTCGGCCAGGGCCAGCATTTTGTTGCAACTGCTGTTGTTAGTTCCGGCTGGTATAATACTGGTGGCCACCATAGCAGCCGTTGATGTTATCGTCGATGTTGGTATCTGGAAACACTTGAACAGGGATGCACCCAAAAATGCTAGGCCGGCAATAAATAAGCCAATAATGATGCCATACTGTAAATAGGGGCATACTTTAAAGAGCAGCTGCAGGAGTATTTTCAGTTCGGTTGTAAGTTCTTCAACGCCCTGGAAATAGAAAATAAAATGTAAATTTAATATAACATTTAAATGATATAAAAAATTGAAACAAATGAAATATATTGGAATCTATAGCCTATGGATTTGATTATGATAAATTTTTATTTATTATATATGGAAATATTTTTTTCCGAAATAAGTTCCAATGTTACTTTCATTAAATTACCCACATTATCTTTTAGGATAAAAATATACTTAAGTCAAGAATAAGGGAGACATCTCCAGACTTGGAAATGATTCCCTTTACTTTTGTTTAATAAAGTTTATTATTTATTAGGAAATTTCCTACAAAAGTGACAATAATTTGGCATTTCATGTTTGAAATATAAAATTTTGCTTCGATCTGACAACTAAATTCGGTTTCGATCTGGAAACCCCTTCATGTAGGAGCAGGTGTTCAAAAAAGACGCATCCGTAATTTCTTTACAATGGAAACATTAGAAATGCGTGCTGTCATTAAATATTCTTCATGGGTAGAACATCTTCCTACTAAACAGGATCGATACTGTTCCATTTTTAGAGTAGCCCTCATTTTGTGATAAATATCATTTCCAAAAATTATCAATATGAATACGTTTCGGTTTAACCTCCATAGATCGAATTCTACATTATACAGAATTTTGGTCCTGTGGGCACGTTTTTCTAACTAAGGCTCCAATGGCTCCAATTCTCATTTTGCAGAAAATCGTCCTACCAAAAATTATCAATGTGTGTCCACGTTTCAGGGTAGCCACCAGAGAGCCGTACCCCCCCATTATTCGGCATTTTCAACCGAATCGACTATAATTTAATACTTTTGATTCTAAGGGGATGGGAAATCTTCCCACTTCCCACTTATTTATGCAGAAAATTTACTTACTATTTTACCTATTTAAATATGTTCTGACATTTTTTAACATGAGAAAATCAAAACAATATCTTGAAACATGGGTAAAATTCAATGCGTCATTGTGAAATCGAAAACGGCGAACATTTTTTGGAATGAAACCAAAAATACCAACAATTTTAAAAAATTTCAGAAAAAATAAAAATGCTAAAAATATGCTAGGTGCGAGATCACTTTTTTCGGTGCTAAACGAGTTTAAAAAGTGGTAAATTTAGCACTAAAAGTGCTAAATTGGCAACACTGGTCGCATTTGCTAAAAGTCGATAAAAAAATCATAAGAATTTCTCAAGCTTGTTTGGATCGTTTTAAGCGAAATAAAATGAATTTTAAGTGTCGTTTCATAACTGTTGATGAGACATGGATCCACCACTATACTCCAGAGGCAAAAGAACAATCCAAACAATGAACAGAAGCTGGAGGAAGTACCCCAAAGAAGGCCAAAACAATTCAATCGGCTGGAAAGGTTATAGCAAGGGTTTTTGGGACTTCAAAGGTTTTTTATTGATTGACTATCTACAAAATGGTAAAACAATAAATTCAGAGTACTAGTGCAAACTTTTCGATCAATTAAATGTACAAATTCGAGAAAAACGTCCTGGCGTATTGAAGTTTCAGGGGATTATATTAAAAAAATAAAAATATTTTTGAAAAACTAACTATTCTCTTTCATTGCTAGGCTAAGAAGTTTCCGAATCGTCCTCGTCCTCCTCCGAACCGTCCTCGTAGAACTTATAGGATGTTTGGTATCGCAAATGGGTTATATTGGCCCATGTTTCGGTACTGCCTCCATGCAACGGTACCCCCTAATATTCGGTATTTTGAGGATGTTGGACAAGCCTAATTGGTTATAATTTGCTAATTTGGGTACTGAGCCACATTCCTACTAAAAATTATAAATATTGTTCTACGTTTTGGGGTAGCGCTCATATAACAGTATCCCCAAATATTCAGTAGTTAGGGGTTGTTGGGCACATTTTTTAACCGAATTGGTTGTATACTACACTATAAAAAGTGCACACTACACAACTGTGTTGTCAGTATATTACAGCTTTGTGTGGTCCCAACCGATACACGGGCCACAGTTATGGACCAATCTTCACGTAATTTTGCATGTAGGTTAGTTTTGGACCAATTGTTTTTTGACCTACTGTTTTTGGTATTGATCCGTTAATATTTAGGGGATGAAATGGACCAACGACTTTTTTTTTTTTTTTTTTTTTGTCTAGAGGCCACAGTTATGACCCGAACATCACGACATTTTACACAGGGAAAGGGATCTGGCCAAGGAACCAGCATGACTCTTTGCATGTAATCGACTAATATTGAGCGGTTCAAATGGTCCGGGTCCATTTTTGTATGAAAATAACAAAATTTGCATTCTATGGAGCGTATAGTTACTACTGAAAGACATAGACCCGATATGTTTATAGTATATCCAAGAGGAGTTCTTGAATTTTAAATATGAGCTAAATATTGTCCAGGCTCAAAATAGATTCGTAGAAAGTTTGAGTTCAGTAGTAGTTGTGTAGGGTATCGTACGGCCAGGACCGTCCTAATATGCTGTCCCACTCACTGTTTTTTTTTTTTATTATGGTTCCTAATGTATAGTTAGCCTCCACACTAAAAAATGTTAACATTGATCTACATTGTTCTCGATATAAATCCAACCCCTCTGCTAAAGATATTAATATTGATTCAAGTTTGGGAGAAGTACCTATATAACGGTAACCCCCACCCCCATTGTCGGTATTTTGAGGATTTTTTACTCATTTTGCAATTGAATTGGGTGTAATTAGGTATTTATTTTTCTCCTGAAGGACCAGTATGTCGAATCTCCACTTCCTTATTGATGGTATAAAAAATTCGATCCGGCCGAACTTAGCAACGTTTTTACTCGTGTATCACGCTAACTGCCTAAGAAATCGGTATAAAAAGTGAAGCGAATAATTTTGAAATCTTTTTTTTTTTTTTTTTTTGGAATATACAAATTGCATCCACTTTTGAAAATACCGACAATTGAAATTTTTGAAATTGAGTGTACCGCTACAAGAATTCGGTTAACAATGTATTCCTAACCACAAAAAAATCTGAAAATCAGAGTGCCCTTTTAGGAGGTGTAGTATAGCTTCATGTGGTCTTGGAACTTTATTGAACGTAAATGTCAATACGTTGATGGTATTACTTGTTCGGCCCGATCGAATTTAACGCCTGCTTTTCTTGTTCAAGTTTTGAAACATTCATTTTTTAAAGAAGTCTTGAATATTTTGTGTATCGTGGCCGGTATATCGACCAACACCACAACTAAATCGTAAATTCCCAAAAAATGTACATATGTATTTGCATATAATAGTAATAAATATTTTACGGGATCGGTAAGACTCAACTATGACGCTCTATACACCAGTAGAAATTGTCCAATGTTCTTTACTTTCGAACTCGATTTAAATTTACAAAACATATTACGACATGGAAAGTTTAGTTAATATTGGTCAATTCTTTCAAGAGTTATCGTGGACATCAACCACCTACCCAGAGGAAGGATATTTCTGACTCCAAATTATCCGAAACGACAACGGAGTCTAAAAAATATTTCAATTCACAATATTTTGATATTTAATAATTTGTAATAATTTGTGCAAATTGTTACTGAATGTTGTTCGATAACTTCAGTAAATGAGAGGACCATATGATACCCTACACAACTTCCACGAAAATCTTACTTTCTGTGGTTATATATTCTGA